AGGATCTCCAAGCTTATTTCCCTTGACTCGTGATTTTCCATGCTTTCGGAACAAACTGTGGGCTACTCACAAAGTAAATATGTCGGACTGTTTTGCTCTTCACTTCACAGATAGCAGAAGGGAAATTCGACAAACACTCGATGTTCACAGACCGGACAAACACACCAGGTGCAAACAAGCACTCTTCACAACCCAACACTCACTGTTACACACAATATCGACACAATATCTGGCAATTTAATTAAAGAAAATTTTATGTTGTGCAATTCATCGTTTTGCTTTGTTTGAATGAATCGCAGCACCTGACCCGAGATGTGACTTAAAAGGAAATTCCAGAAACACAAAGCAGTATAAAAGTTGTAACTGAAGTTATTTTCATCTTCAGTCCGAAACTTATAGAGCTCAAAAATTGAAACAAGAAAAAGAAGTATCATCTGTCAACTAGATTTAGAATCTACATCAGATCTACATTGGTGTGAAGCAGAAATAGAACTCGTTACCAATGAAAGTAACCGAACATCACCCAGAGAGTAGAGTGGGCTGGGCAGCTAGGGGACAGCACTCTTAAATTATATTACAGAAGACAACTTTCACATTGGCATTGGTGGTGAAACCAATATGAAAGTACGCTGTACGCGTGCCGGACGAATAGGCCTACCATTGATCATCTGGGGAAACTAATCTAGGTAATAGCGCAAGGTGCCTTCCTCTTTGTAATAATTATTGAACTCATTCAGAGAGAATAATTTAACAATTAAATAAAGTTACGGTGGCTTCTCGTCTGTGGTCTCGACGTCTGTCGTCTCGACGTCTGTTAGTTTGCAACTTTGCGCAGTTTGCCCCGGCTCGGCCTGTCAATGATGCTACGACTACAACTCAGTGCCCAGTAGTGTCTGTCCGTGGTCCATTGTTGTTGCCTGAATAATTGATGACATGCCAACATTTTGTATGATTTAATGATTATGAACTACTTTTTAAGAACAGCAATAGTCTTGAATATTCTTTCCTGATCATGCAAGATAAGTGGAACTCAGATTCAACGAGGTTGCCGGGCCTGACCTAAAATCTCGTTGAATCTGAGTGTTCGTTATAGCAAACATGAGGTTTTGTGTAGATAATTACAGGCACTGAGCAAGTAATGTATATAAGGAGAAGTCACAAGTAGTGCCTGAAATGCCTGCATATTATGAGCTGTGTAAAAAAAGAGACCAGATTCGTTCAAATGCACAAGCCTGAGTCATCTCGATTGTATACCAAAAAGTTAAAAGTTGGGCGATTTTCAAGATTTCCGCGTTTAATTCCGATGTGCGCTTTTCAAAGCCTAAGGTATGTTTCGCTTTGGTGCATTTGGAGTTAGGGTTAGGGTTAGGGTCAGGGTTAGGGTCAGGGTTAGGGTAAGGGTTAGGGTTAGGGTTGAAGAGTTAGGGTCATGGTTAGGGTTAGGGTTAGGGACCAAAGCGAAACATACCTTAGGCTTTGAAAAGCGCACATCGGAATTAAACGTGGAAATCTTGACAATCGCCAAAAGTTGTGTTGCTGTGTAGAGCCTAGCATGTACAGCAACTTTTTATTCCATAGACCAGCACACAATTCATTACGTAGATCTACGTCAAGACTAGCTTATCATGTATAGTGATCAGTTGCCGGGGGGGGGCTGTGGCGTGTTTGTATCTGCGACGTTCAACGCCGGACCACTAGTGCCCCCCCCCCCTGACACGCACACACAGCCACACGTGTGCAGGCTGCCCATCCGACCCCGACACACACCAGAGTAGACCCCTGCGCGTGTCAATAACGCATGTGTTGGTATGAAAAAAGGCCGCTGATTGGTCGCATGCAATCAGCACAGTGAATAATTTGGTTCACGATGCAGGTGCAATGGATGGTTTCCGGGAAAAGATAAAGTTCGTTTTGGGAGAAAAATGAGCAAAGCCACGTCTGTGTGGGCTGTTCACCCTGGAAGCGACCTTGTTAAATCCGAGGTCGCTGAATTTAAATGCTTGTTGAATCCGGGTTATTTTTATTGATGTTAAAGAAGAAAAAAAAAATAGGGGAATCTATCTCATCTCGTTGAATCCAAGTTCTCGTTGAATCCCAGCTCATTGAATCCGAGTTCCTCTGTAATACATGATGAGCTTGTTATTTTTTGGTTAGGAAAGTGGTATCATTTAACTTTACTTTCACGTGTGCATGCAGAGATGCACTGTATTTGAGGGTCAACTGTTGTATTTTAGTTATTTTATACGGTATATTATGTCCCATTAACCCTTATTGCACAGTAATATTTCCTTCATTAAAAATTAATCTGGGTGGTTTCATGTTGTTTTTTTTCACAGTGGCTACGTTCACGGCGTAGTCTGCAGGCTACCGTGAACATAGTTGACAGGCTACGTTCACGGCGCCCTGAATGCAGTTTGCAGGCGCTGTTGAGGCTACGTTCACAGCACTAAAGGTTCATTTAGGGGGAGCATCCACTGCCGGTTTAAGTCTGCCGATTTGAGTATATATTTAATATTTTGGCCAGCTTCAAGTGTTCCGTCCCATGAGATAAGGAAAACAAAGCGCCCTCACAGAATTAAAGTCAGGATATGGGATATGGGAAATTGAAAAAGGTACATGGGAAACAAGAGGTGAGAGATGGGAAACAGAAGGTGGGATTCAGAAGATGGGACTGGTCATAAAATGTGTACAATAATGACTGTATTGCACCGGGTCAGCCTGGGAACCGACGCAGAGAGAAAATGACGGGAATCAATGCTTATTATAATAACAAACACCCCCTTTCTCTCTTTCTCTCCCCTTTCTCTTCTCTCTTTCTCCCCCCCCTTCTCTCTCTATTTTTCTCTGTCTCTGTCTGTCTGTCTCTCCCTCCCTCTTTCTCCGCTCCCCTCCCCTTCTCTCTCCCTCTCTATTTCTCTCCCCCCTCTCTCTCTTTCTCTCTCTCTCTCTCTCTCTCTCTCTCTCACACATGCACACACACGAAACTGCACACTTTCAACTCGAGAGCGCTGGAATGCACTCGTTTATCACGGGCCGTGTCGGGCTGACACAAAGTCGCGCCCAAGTCTCGCCCGGATGCGAGATAGGGCAATTGAAACATCTTGGGAGGCGTATACATTTTTGTCATATATATCCTAATGCGTTGTTGCGTAATTGATAGTTCGTCGTTTACCCTTACACTGGCGAGCTCAGTGTAAGGGAAAACAATGAATGGTCAATCGGTCAAGGGTCACTGCTTCGTTTTCCTTCATCTCATGGATGGAACGCTTGAAGCAGGCCAAAATATTGAATTTATGTCACACTGTCGTCACTGACTAAAACCGGCTTACTTAAGTCGGCAGCAAAGAATCTTTGCCGGCAGTGGATGCTCCGTCTAAACGAAGCTTTAGTGCCATAAACGTAGCCTCAACAACACCTGCAAACTGCATTCAGGGCACCGTGAACGTAGCCACTGCGTTTTTTTTTTCTCCATATTAGGCCTAAATTAAATTGTAGAGATCTCCAGAAATCTAAATCTAGATATCTAGACTAGATTCTATTTGATGTTTTGCAGTTTGGTTTGAAATTGATTTTCTTGAGAAAAAAATATATTTGTGATGGTTATGTTTTGTCTGGTGATCTCATTTGATCATGTGATAAAACCTCATCTTGGTTTCATTTTGCGATGGATACAAAGTCGAAATTCGTGTAAAACATAAAAATAAACAAGAAAAATGCCATTATAAAGGATAGGCTTACACAATACCTGAGCATCAGATGGGAGTGAAAGTAAAATTATGACAAAAGTTTTTAAAAAGTTGTAAGTTGTGGAGGTACTATAGACCGATTGCTTGGAGTTGGAGTAAAGTGTCTCTTCTTGGCTTTCTTTCTTTGTTATTTTTATTGAATGAGAATGAGTCTGTATTCAATAACTCTTTTTTGAGTTAGGTGGGCTATATAATAGTGGAATGTTTGATTTGAAGCATTATTTTATTATTGATGGTGTCATTATTGTCTTTCTTTCAGTGTTTCACGTTATGCTTGATGGGAAAATCTTTTTTACTTTGTGGTCAAACGCAATCATTTCGGAGACATGGCCAGCTGGTGTCTCATCAGTGGCCTCATCCGGAGGCTTAAGTGTGGTCGCGGTCCTCCTGACAATCCGCTGAAAGTGTTGGCGAGCATGAGAGACGGCTTTGCTAATGTCGCATCACAAAGAGATTTGGTGTATGCCCCAAGAATGAGCTATATGATGACAAGACTGTTTCATGTGTCTCGTAATGACTGTGGCAAAAGAAAACCAAAGGGAACGCAACAAAAGAGGGTAAGTGCAGTATGTATGTGATCACAGATTTGGTGAAATTCAACTCATTGAATACTCAGTGTTTGTGAATTATGTAAAGCTGTTGATCCTCTGTAAATTTGAAGTAACGAACAGAGAATATTTCTAATGCCTGTGTTCATATGATCTTTTTTATGATGTGGGCTTGAATTTTTTGTTTTTTTTACTGTACTGAGACATTTGTATTTATTAAGCAAGATGATTTTGTTTTAATATATTTCTGTTACAGAATCCTCTGAAAATGAACAAAAAAAGCGGCCTGGAACGAGCTACTGTCCACAATGAGATGACCATCATAGAACTGTCTCAAGCCTTGAAAAAATCTACAGGTTTGAGCATTTCTAATGCAAATTTTATTGTCACAAAGGAATGTTTAATTTATGGTTTATGATATTACCTATTAATTTGACTTACGACCAACACAGCCTTCGGTGCCATCTGTGCTTCTCCCAGAAAATCATTTTTTAAAGTTTTAAGGTTATAACCAGGTTGTTGTGATTGTTGGACAATAGAAAATGAAATTGATAAGTTTGTTGTGGTTGACCAGGCAAACATGAATGAGCTAAAAATGGAAATTACACGAGGATTGGTCTGATAAGTATAGAAACGCTGACCTTTTGGTTTTGTTTCTTATGTAAAAGGAAAAACTAGAACAGTAATTCTTTTCAGGACCATTGTTATACTCACTTTGGATTCACTTGTTTGTCTGTCTTATCTTCATTCAGCTTGTTATAAATGATATCTTCTGGAGTCCCACTTTGAAGACCCTGGCAGTTCATTTGTTTTACATGGCAGCCAAATGAAACTAAAACATATATAACGTGATATTAGTTTGAATAATCAAATTTATTCTTATTTTGTTTTTAGGTTTACCATATTGTGTTTCCCAAGCTCAGCCCATTTGTTATTCAACTGAGATTAACCTTCTATTCACATGATTTAATTTTAGGATAATGGTTTATTTATCTTGTTATAATGCTTGCTAGTATACTGATGAACTTGCCATTAATTATTGGGTGTACCACCCATGCGCTCAGTTGATTTGGTTTTGTTCAATGTTCATTAATTTAACAAGTTTTTTATATCCTATGTTGTATTTTCAGATCATGTGTATGAAGTGCTGATGTCTGTACCAAACACAGATGACTATGATCATGATGAAGCAGGTAACAGAGATGTGTGTTTGTACTTATATTCAAATTCCGTTTGCCTTTATGTTTAAACTTGAATGCAAATTCCATTTTTGACACTTATGTCATATTTTATCTTGAAAAGCTTCCTAATCTGATATCTATGAAATTTTGAAATAGATTGCTAAAGAGTAGACAATTTGTATTTTTTGCTGTTACAGCTAATTTTTTAGAACACATTGAAAAGAAAATGCAACTGAAGGTAATTAATCTTATGACACTAAGTTAGTTTTTGCCATGTTTTTATTCCATTCACTGTTATTGCTGACAATTATAGTGGAGAGAGTTGATGGTCCTATGTTAAGGGGGCTCTCATTTGTGATTTGACTGTCAGCATCTGTAAATAAATGTAGTCTTATAAAGCCACTAAATTAAAGTAGTTTCATGCGGATACACTGAAATTTGAAAATGGTTCAGACAGTTTTTATTTTTGGTTGATTTTTCAGTTTTAGACAGAGCAACTATAACCAATGTTGTGAAAAGATCCGGAATGATTCCAGAATTTGTTGGCCGCAAAGAGAAGAAGAGTGGCACGGAAAGTCAAAACAAAGATGTTGTTAGACAGTATGTAACATTTCTTACTCTCTTTTTTAAATTTTCAAATTTTACACAGGTTTTTGTGTTATGGTATGATTCTTTGTCATTGACTTCAAGTACTTTTGTCTGTGACATGAATCCAGTGAATTTTCACAAATGTCAGAAATTACTTTTGTTCACATTTAATTGAAATATTTCTTTACTTTATTCTCTATGTTCTCATAACATATCATTATATGAGAAAAATTTCATTTCATGTCATCATGACTTTGTCGACCTTGGAAGTGCAATGTTTGAAGTAACTGTAACTAATGGATGCTGTGTTTTTCAACTTGATGTTGTTTCTAACTTCATTCGAGCATTCTGACTAGAAATATTTTTTATATTATGGAAAAGGCCAGCCCCTGACCCAGATGTCTTGGTGAAGCGTCCGGCTGTTGTGACCATCATGGGACATGTAGACCATGGGAAGACCACACTCCTGGACAGGCTGAGGAATTCTAACATCGTTGATCGAGAGTTTGGGGGCATCACTCAACATATTGGAGCTTTCTTAGGTATGATAGTAATTCTTTCTGTAGAGAAAACTTTTTGAAATAACAATGATAGTAACAAGGGTTGCTGATTGCACTTTCATAGTACTTACACCCCTGTTTGAAGAAGCGCTATATTGGCTTTTCAGTTTGTTATTACCTCGACAAAGTCATGCGTTCCTAAACATTCTCGGTTTTATGGCAAGTTTCAGCGGGAGCCACCAGTCTTCAGATGCTTAGACACTATCATATGTCTGTCTTGTCTCTATACTGTTTTTGTCTTGGGTAAATTGAGGAAAATTTTATGTATTTTTCCCAAGTAGACCTTGTGTTAGGCCCGCACTAAGATTTGAACCTACAACTTAATAGATGTCAGTCTGGTTGCTTAACAACCAGGCTGCTGGTGCGAATCTTTTCTAAGCTAAAATTTATTTGCAGGATGTATTACTGAAGACTGTCATACTGCATGCTGACTATGTTAATATATGTATCTGAGTCTGTCATGTGTTTACGCCAGAAAATGCTGATTACATTGAACATAGGAAAAGGATGGACAGCCTTTTCTTTATTTAGTTATCTTCTGCTGATTTTTAAATTGTCAACCCCCCTAGGCATCCTCTAGTCAAGTGAAATATTGATTTGTCACAAGTTCTGAGTTTTGGTTGTTCTTTAGCTGCCTTGGAATATTGATATCCCCTTATTGCGCTGTGTATCCTCAGTGACCTTGGAGTCAGGGGAGTCGATCTGTTTCCTGGACACACCTGGTCATGCAGCCTTCAGTGCTATGAGGTCACGGGGAGCCCATCTGACGGACATCATTGTGTTGGTTGTTGCTGCGGACGACGGGGTTATGCAGCAAACCTTGGAGTCCATCCAACTGGCCAAATCTACTGGGGGTAAGTTCAGTTTGATTTTTGTTTTACAAGGATGTTAAGTTCTACATTTTGCTACCAGCTCTTATCTGAATAGAATGCCTACCATCTGCTTTTTAACTCATTCGCTACGCCGAGCCGTGGGGGGCGGCGTGGCTAAAGTGCCGTCAGTACGCTAAGCCGCCCCCGGCGGCTCGAGAACCGACGTTCAATTTTAGCTTGGTTTCTATTCCAATCCACATATCCATGTTAAAATAAAGGTCATAATATAATGTTGACTTCCGGGTCAAGTGTTTCCACCGAAAATCGGAAGTTTTGATTCAGTTTTGAAAAACGATTTCGAAGTTTATTCGACGTTGTTTTATCGCGAAGCCCAAATTATAGCCCAGACACCAGTCTTAGTACTTTTACACAACATAATGTATCATTATTTTGCTCACTAAAGAAATGTAGGACTCTTCTTTATAATACTAATACCATTGGACACAAATTGCCGGTGCACTGTAATTGAGAAATCAATATTTTTGAGTGCTAGATCTAGATCTAGACCTAGATCTAAATAGTCAAAATATTTTTTTTCTCCCCAAAATCACTACTTTTGGGTGAAATTACTGAAAAGTACCACTCAAGACATGTATAGGTTTTTTCGAAATGCAATTTTGAATAATTCCATATAAGATACGCATATTTTTTTTCTTCTGTTTGTGATCCTTTTTTCAAAATTATTTAAAAAAATATTTTTTCAATATCGGATGTTATGATCCAAATGTACAAATATTATGGAATGTAAGTAAATAACTGCACATTTTTCAATATTTTCCTGTTCTATATACAGTTGTGGCTATTTTGATGTATCATTTGACTAGGTGCAAACATATTTTTTTAGTTTCACCTGAGATTATAAATTTTATATTTTCCAATTTTATGCGCATCCAATAACAATTGTGTTGCATAATCGCCTCTTACAGGAACCAAAGTTGAAAAATACACAAATAAATAATACAGATGTATTCTACAAACCATACTGAAAATGTTGGTATATAATATGTTGATATTTATCTGAATTTATGGCCCCAAAAGACCTGTGAACTGCGCACTAGTCATTATCTCATTTCGCCCTCCCGAAAAAAATTCGTCCACAAGCCGAAAATAATACGTAGCGAATGAGATAAAGATATGCTGTTGTTGAACATGTACATTGTTATCTCTATTTGGATTTGTTGAATTTCTGTACATTGTCTGTCCTCATGTTGGTTCTATTTCTATATATTTCAGTTCCCTTGATTGTTGCTATCAACAAAATTGACAAAAACAATGCTGATGTGGTAAGTGTTTTTGAACTGTGAATAGTCCCTAGAGCAGAGACTTTAGCAGATAAGAACTAATTATAGTAAGAAATTGTATTGTTTGATATTTTTTACTTCTGGTAAGTTTATTTCGTTCTCTGATAACTAGTGGTCAGTATTTACATTTTTCATCTTTAAAAATTCACCATGTTCTGTGTTTGTCTGTTGGTGCCCCACTCTCCATCTTTCCTGGTCTCTGCTATGTTGTAATATTTCCTGAAGATGTAAATTGCTGTCGGGTTTTACGTTTTCAGTCACCTGAGTACGACAACCCTATTTCCCACAAAAACATAATATTACAGGAGAAAGAAAAAACTCATCTAACAATGTTTGTTAAAAATTAAAGTCTGAGTGTTGCACTGGCAATATTTATTGAGCTACATTTCTTAAAATTTGACCCAAAATCAGCTATGTTACATGTAGTTGAAAAAAGCAAAAAAAGCTTTTTCTTGACATAGTGTGGGTTATAGAATTGTTGTACTCGGGCAATGATATGATGCATAAAGGTGTCATGTGTCATTTCTGAAATGAAAAAATCTATCAAGCTGATGTTGTTCATGTTAGTTCCCAAAATGGAGCAGTATGTCTTGTGAAAGTCAGCTGTTTTTTTTCTTCCTCCACAGGAGCGTGCAAAAAATATGTTGTTAGAACACCAGATCATGCTGGAGGAGTTTGGTGGAGATGTACAGGCTGTGCCCATCTCCGCACTGCAGGTGTGTGTGTGTGTGTGTGTACGTGTGTGCATGGGAGTGTGAGTGTGCATGTATTTGTGTGTGTGTGTGTGTGTGTTGGCGCTTGCGTGTGTGTGTGTGTTTGAGGGTGTATAGGAATGAATGAGTGCATGTGTGTTGCGTATGTGTGACTGAGTGTATTTGTGTATATGTGTTATTTATGAGTAACTTGAGGGAGGGGGAGAGTGCGGATTAAGTAGCAAATATATTTTGGATTATTAACTTTTGATATACGTTTATGGACTTGGGATGTTGTAGCCCTGACCTTATGTTACAGTTGTATCTATGGTTTGTCATTGTCTTCACTTTATGTGTACATCTATCTATGCATGTGTGAGATAATTATAGACTGATCCTAGTGGGTAGTCTGGTGTGGTTTGCTTCTTCTTTTCTATCAAACATCTATTGTTTTTATCTCCCCTCCTTTTTTGTGTTTGTTACTCTCTTGTAACACCTCTAATCTTCGGCACTTATATGACCTTATTGAGTTGCAAGTGCCGTAAAACACTTACTAGAACAAAACAAGACTGTTCCCATGGCTCTCATACCTTATCTTTGTGTATCTGTTTGTAGTACCTTTGGCTTACATGTTGCAGCCAGTTACTGCGTTCGCCAGTGTTGGATTTTTCTTTTGTCCTTTCTTTGGACCCCGAAATGCTGGACTATGTAGTCTTCAGGTTGAAAATAAAACAAACAAAAATTCCTTTACCTTCAACTGAATAGTGATTTTTTAAAAAGCTTTTTGTTCTATCCCCTGATGAAATATGAGGTAACTACATTGTTTTGAAATGGGCGTGTGGGTGGTTGGAAGGCACCCTGGCAAGTCGTAATTCTTTTTGTGCCCTCTTCCTGCCTTACTCTTTCCTTTCACTAAATACAAGTTTCTGTGTCTTTGTGCTTCTCTTAATTCAAACAAATGAAAAGGGTGTAATGTTTTACCATTTCTGTGACAGGGCACCAATCTGTTGGAGCTACAGGAAGCCATTGTGACGCAGGCTGAGCTCATGAGCCTACGGGGTGACCCAGTTGGGCTGGTGGAAGGCAGCGTGGTGGAAGCAAGGCTTGATAGCAAGAGAGGGTACGAGCTTTTCTGTTGTGCAGGTTAAAAAAAGAAAGGGAAATTAACACTCCTGAGCAAAAGAATTTTAAATCTTGTTTATTGATGGACTGAAACAAGTTGATAAATTTCAGTACTTCCCTTTATCCCACATACTTTAGTTCTAATATTTTTTCTTTAAAAAAAAGAGCTTTTCTGTTTTGCAGATTACATACAAGGAGACTTTCAATGCTCCTGGGCAAAAGAATTAAAAAGCTTTTTTTTTGTTTTTGATAAACTGAAAAAAGTTGGTAAAGTTGACCACTCCCTTGGATCCTATATAATTCCATAACAGTAAAACATTTTTAAGTGTTGTTTTTTTTTGTGGATGAATTATGTCTCAGTTTTGAAGTGCCTTCTCTCTTTTCCTATTTGTTTCCTATTTATTATGTTCAAACTGTGTTTCTCCTCCTTTGCAGTCGTTTAGTGACGGCGGTGATACAGAGGGGAACGTTGAAGAGAGGAGATATTCTTGTGGCTGGGACAGCTATGGCTAAGGTGAGTTGTTGTCAGTGATGTTTTTCACCCCTGTTGACACAATTTTGATAGCTTTTGAGGTCAGCTGTTTCATTACTGCTTGTCAGGGCCAAACTGGAGTGCATGAAATATTGCTCATCGTACTTTGTTTGGCATTACAGTGTAAGCCAACCTGTGGCTCCCTTCAGCCACGTACACAATATAGAGAAACATGACCATTTTACGTATTAACGACACACACGTAACAGTAAAATGAAGATGCTCTTTAAGATGTCCTCCCCTATAATGACCCGAAGTGCTGTACATGCATAATGTAAAGCTTGATCATTAGCTCATAGAAACTCGTGTGCCAAGGTGAGTAAGGCCAATTTCATGATATGTTCCATGTCGAAAAGTTGTTGTCATTTCAATATCTCTTGGATGCAAGGTGTGGTTGTTGGAGACACTCTTATACAGAAGAAACTGGTTTACACATTTAGATGTGGTTTACAGGGGTACCTGTTCTCTGGAAATCTGGATTCCTGAATTTGTCTGGATTTAGTGTGTGTAATTGTAATTTTTTTTGTCTGATATACATTCCAACTTTGATTTTTTTTTTGATACGGTGTATTTTGATGTTTTTGTACTTGTCATATTGCACCTTATATAACAATAGTCTCGATAGAAGATGCCCTTGACAGTATGTTTATTTAATTTTGATTCCCCTCATGCATCTTCACTTTTTCCGAAAATTTTTGGATTTTTTGTTTTGCCATATTTTTTAACAATATTTGTCTTTTCTGTGTCGATGAGTACATGTAGTATTTGTGGTAATGGGAAGTATTTGAATATTGGCACATCTGAAGCTGCTGATAGCTGTTGTTCCCCCATTTTTCACACAGACTTTTGGCTTGTTTTTAGCCTTTGGAAGAAGTTGAGAGGAAGTAGGCTAAATGTTTTTGGGGTGGGTTTTTTTTTCTTCTAACCTACCTCAGATGTTCAGTATCGTGTGTTTGTTTGCCTCCCCCACAGGTGCGTGGGATGTTTGATGACCTCAATCAGCCTGTGCAGCAAGTTTTGCCAGGGAATCCTGTGGAGATTCTCGGCTTCAAGGAGACTCCTTCGGCAGGGGATGAAATCTTACAAGTTGCCTCAGAGGTAAAAATTTCACCATATTTCTTGTTGTTGTTGCTTTTTTTCTTTTTTCTCTTTCATTATATGCCGAGCATGTAGATCTTAACTCTTAAATATGGTGACTGACTAATGAACTTTACGCTATTGGGCTATGCTGCTAAAAATGTAATAGCCAAAGAGGGATTTTCAAGAACGTTATTCAATGTATACTCTTTAACATTATTAACTTCACACATTTTAACAGCGTGTAGCTAAAAAACTACACATCTAATTACTTTGGAATTTTTACACATGTTACGCAAGCTCATTGTCGTTCGTTAACTGTTCTCACAAGGGCTTACTGGTTTATCGTTTTGTTTGACGATGTCCTTCATGGGGTTTTGATATTTTGTCAAATACTGTGAAAATGTGAGGGTAACTTTGAAAACAAAAACTACACGGGTAAAGTTGGACACCTTCCAAATTTTTCGCCATAATAAAGTGGCTTCTCTTTATCGGTTTACCATGCTTCCGCTGAATGAATGAGAAAAAAATTACATCATTGAAATGCTTCAGGTGGGCGCTCTGCTTTCGTCAGTGGCGAGAAAGTTCAATGAGCAGACACACTGTGTATGCGACACAGGATCACATGGCAACAATAAGCTCCCAAAAGGACAGACCCAAGAGAGTAGAACGCAGAAAGACAAAACGGAGGAGGGCGCTTTCATCCTTATGCAGCGCTTGAGAAATCAATTTCAACTGGCAAACAAAGACTAAAGATGAGTCGAAAAGACGTATATATCAGTCCGATCTTTGTCATGACTATTCTTCTTCATTTGAAAGAGGGGTACTTTCGTGCTAGGGGCCTGGTTTGTCGTACAAGACTGCAGCCCCATCAAATCCAGCACAGACTTCGCTGGGCACAAAATCGTGTGAGATGACCACGTCGTATTTGGAATAACTACATATTTTCGGATTAGTCCTAATCTCGACTGGAACGGCATGATGGACGGGCAAGAGTCTACAGAAGACTCAACTAAAGGTTATGTCTCACCTTGCTTCAGATAAGCAAATAATTTAGCTGGAGGTTATGTCATGGTGTTTCCTGGAATCAGTGATACTGGGGATACCACACTTGTGTCTATTTGTGGGAGAATGACAGCTCAAGGTCAAATCAACCAAGTTCTCAAGCCCAATGCACTTAAAAAAAAAAAAATCAAGTCTAAGGACAATTAGTATTCATGCATGATAATGCGCCTGCGCATAAAGGTGCTATGACAAATCAATTTCTCAAAACTAACATTCCTGTCCAGCACCCTAGACCAGCACATTCATCAAATCTCAATTCACCTGAGCACTTGCAGTACATTAATTTAGATTGCGCCATTCGAGCCAGACCACACCTGCCCAGGACTTTTGCTCAGTTAGAAAAAGCCTTTAATACAAGAATGGAATAACATCCATCAACAGACAATAACTCGACTCATTCAGTCTATGCGTCGACAATGTAAACATGTGAACAACGCCAGATGTCATCACATGTTACTGAAGCTGTCACTTTCCATTTTGACCTCTGAGAACTATAAGTGCAAACGTGAAATTAAAAACATTCGTAACTTTGCTTTCAACACGTTTCCCTTGTTGTAAAATGAATGCACTGTCTGACCTTGAATTTTCTGACGGATTTGATAAGTACGAATGAAGTTAAAAATGTTAAAGAGTATATTGATTAAAACATTTCTTCTATGGCTGAGCTGTTATTTGCCTTGCAAAGGAAGATCACCTTAAATGAGTCTTTGAAAAGTGGACTGGTGATTGTTTATTTTTATGTGGTATATACTTTTTGTCACCATATTTCTTAATCTGTTTATGGGGTTTTCAAAATTTTTCTCATGGTTGTAGCAGTGAGTTGCTTATGCCATGAATGTTATGGTGTAATATACAAGGTAACTTACTCTTTCCTCTTCAAACAAGTGGCACATTTGTATAATGTTATTGTAAACACATCACACTTACAGATGCAAACTTTCTCTTTCCTTTCTCTCTTCCTCTGTGTTGAAGTTATATGGTGGGTGGGTGGCAGGTGCTGTGGTGTAGCTTACTCCTTCTTTCTTATTAAACCTCTGTCGTGCTTTTCTCTCCTCCTTCTTTTTTGTGATGGTTACTCTCTTGTAACACCTCTTATCTTCGCACTTATATGACCTAATTGTATTGCAAATGCCATAAATTTTTACTTAAACTAAATAAAGTTAAAGGAAATAATTTAGTCTGCATATGAAGTAATCCAATAAATACAAGCAATTGTCTCATTTTTTTCTGTTTTAGTCTGAAGCAAAGTCAGCACTAGCGTGGCGTCATGCACAGCAGATGCTTCGCAAGCAGGAGGAAGACTCTATGGTCATCTCAGAGAAGCGAGAGGAACACCACAAAGACTACCACGCGCAGTTGGTCGCTCGACGTGAGGCTGGATTTTACCGCCAGCGTCGCCGTGGTCTGCGTACCAGTGAACAGCAGGAGGAGTCTGATGACCCACAGTTCTCTCTTATACTCAAAGGTGTGATGACGCTTTTTACTGTAGAAGTCTTGCATAACCACCCTCCATACACACCTGTATGTACACACACACACACACACATACACGTACATGCACACACGCACACATACATGTACATGCACACACACACACTTTCATGCATCATGACAATCACAGGCTGCTGTTTTCTATTCCAGTAGATATATTGCAACCCCACAGTGACCCTAGATGTTGCACTCTAGGTCAAGTCATTCAAAATAAGGAGGAGTGCCTGAACTTTACCTTTTACCCTTTATTTCCATAAAAGCTAACGTTTTGTTTTTGGATTCTGTTTTTTGTTCACTGTCTTTTGGGTGCAGCAGAGATGAGGTGGCACAGTTACTGCCATCAGGAGTGAACTGCATAAATGATTCTGTTTCTTCCTCACATTTTTTATTTTTTGTTGTTGTAATGTTTTTTTTTGGTGTGTTTATGTTTCTTTATGAACATAATATATTGTATTTGTATGAATGTGTATGAGTTGCTGATGTGTCAAGGCTGTGACTATTTTGTGTCCTATTTCTTTACTGTCCCTTTGTTGTTTTTGTTTTCGTGTCAGGCTCTTTTCCTGTACTATTTGATCATTAGTCTGTTGATCTCCTTTTTTGTAATGCTAACAAATCTGTGAGTTCCTAAGTTTCTCCACACTCATGTAATTCATATTACAGCTCCTATCTTTGTTCTTTTGTTGTAAGTATGCTCTTGTCTTTTTGCCTTTAGAATGATGTTTTTAAAAAATTGCTTTTGTTCAGTTTGATTGAGAATTTTCAGGATTAATTAATTGTGTTTTTGGAAATGTTTATATAATTTTTGATTGATTATTTTGCCATTATGGACAACCTATTATAAAAATAATTATAATGATAAAAATAATAATAATAATGATAATAGTAATAATTTTAATGATAATACCACTACTACTACTTGTACTACTAATAATGTTATTGATGATAATAATAATGTATTATTTTTGTTATCAATATTATTATTATATAATTTGTGATATATGTGCCTTTTGTTTCATTGCAATCACATTTTTCTTTACTTTTATCTTTATTTTTCTGAAGGAGATGTTGATGGCTCTGTGGAAGCAATTCTTGACACCTTAGACACATACAGATCTAAAAAATGCAGACTTGACATTATCCACTTTGGTGTTGGTAACATTACGGAATCTGATGTAGAGATGGCATCAGCCTTCAAAGGTTTGTTTCACTTTGTTTTTTGCTTTGCTTTGACTGGTTTTCTTAGTCAATTAATTTTTTTGTTTGTTCATATTTGGTAGATGCACTGTTATAGCCTATCTAGTTGATGAATAATATTAACTTTGCAGTTAAGTCGAGAATAAGAAGAACAGAAATACTTTCTTTTAGAATTGGGTTGAATCATGTAAAGGTTAAGTCATCATGATCAGCGTATTGACTTGATCCACTGATTGTACTTTTTAAAAATTACTCTATCAGCACCTATGAATTTTGACCAAAAAAATCATAATGACTTAGCCACTGTTACAAATTTAAGAGATGTAAACTAAAAAGGTTAACTTCATGTTCACTCACCATTTTGATTACCATTACAGTGAGAAAAGACTCCATGAAACTGAATTTAGTAGGTGATAATAAACAAAATTGTAAATGAAAGGGCTCTGGGCCTCTTTAAATATCCTACCAGTCACACTCTTGTTTGGCTGTTACCTTGTAACTTTTCATAGACTGGTTAAGTGTGGTGCTCAGTAGTTAAGTTATCTCTTTCTCTGTTTCTATTTCTTGGGGAAATCTTTTCCAGGTGAAATTTATGCTTTCAATGTGGAAGTCCCTTCAAAAGTGATGGAACTTGCCAAGGGCAAAGGTGTCAAGATTAGGCAACACAATGTCATTTACAGGCTGTTTGATGACCTGAAGGAAGGCATCAATGCTAAGCTGCCTAAGCTGCAAGAAGATGTTGTTATAGGTGAGGACACTTTCTTGTGCTTCAGTGATATGGTCTTTTTGGACAATTATTTTAATTTTAATTATACCCAGTGCACTTTGCAGAAAGTTTTGTCAAATTCTTTTATGATTGGTTTGATTCATTTGAGGGTGGCCAGAGTTTCCTTCATGGATGGGCAAAAGCTACCATTTTGGTAATTCTCTAAAATCGAACAGGTTTGACTGGGTCCAGTTTGATGAAAATTGACAATCAAAAGGCGAATATTCTTTGTGGGGTCAGATCATTGTTTATGTATAGAATGTGACAGGCCTTTTTGGACTTTCAGGTCAAATTTGATGAAGTAGGATAGAGGTCAGTTTCATATAGTGTACGCTCACCAGTACCTTTTCCGGACCTGACCCAAAATGATCATCATTTGAACAATAGGCATCGCATTTAAAGTATTTTTTGTTTTAGTAAGAGTTTTACGGCACTCGCAACACAGTAAGGTCATATAAGTGTCGAAGATTAGAGATGTTACAAGAGAGTAACAAACACATAAAAGAAGGAGGGGAAATAAAGACGTTAGATTTTTTATAGGAAAGAAGGAGCGAACCACACCAGAGCACCGGCCAACCACCCACGCATTTAAAGTATGACTCCTGTTGTAAAAATCAAATCACAAACATACGTTATAGATTTCAGTACCCGATATTCATTGTTAATGTGTTTGTCTCATAAATGAAGTTTGACATCATACTGTTGCGATAATCAGGATTTGAGGAAAGCATAGAAGTTTGAAACTTGTTGACTTCTTTTTGTTAAGTTGTAGAAACTTGATTACCGATTATATGAGAATACTCTCCCTTTGTATGTAAAATATTTGAATATTTGTGGGCTTGGGCATATATCTGTTTGTGATCCTGAAACTTGTGACTGGTGCCAGTGAACTGTTTGTACTCTTTTAAGAACAGAATGGCCTTTGGATAAATGTGGTCTTGTCAGTTGATTAAGCGCACTAATAAACTGTCAGTTTATTAGTGCGCTTAATCAACTGCTTGTACTGAATGCTTCCTTGGAATCTAAGAATGTTTCTGACTGCTCTGGGTTCTGCTGGGGTAAAAATATAGATTGTAAAGGGCGTAGAGTAGGTTGTTGAGTGGGGATATGCGCCATAAAGATGTGATTTATTTTGTTTTTTTTCGATTTTACCTTGAGGGAGGCTTTGGGATCTTACCATTGATGGATGTTGTAGATGGGCATTTGACATGAGTGCTGTCACCTGAGCAGATGATAAAGGAGCTTGAAAGTTGTGCTAATTTAGTGTCAAATTTCAAGCTAGAATGTTCATTGATTTATTTGCTGTGATGACAGGTGAGGCAAAAGTCTTGCAAGTGTTTCAAGTGACTCTGCCCAACAAGAAGAGAACATTTGTAGCCGGTTGTCGGTGCACCCATGGAAATCTCTCCAAGAAGTTTGGTGTGAAAGTTCTTCGCAATGATGAGACTATTTATGAAGGTATGTGGAGACTTGCTTTTGATTAGATTGTACTCCCAAGGACACAAGGGCAGTACTAGTCATCATGGACTAGTTTTTATGTAGTAGCAGTTATGCTTACATTCGGAAGACATGAGTTTGAAAACTGAGTATGATGCTCCTTGATAACTTTATTCAAGTACCAGCTTTATCTGGAAACCTCCAGGAGTTGACTTGAGCAATTTTGGAATTATGCTGATAATATACCCATTATGAATATTTCAAGCTTTGTATGAGGAGGCCAAAGACTTTAACATCCTAAGTATCATTCTGTAGGTAGTTGGAGGGTGCAACTGCAACTTCTTCTCTGTCCTTCTGTCTGTCTGTCTGTCTGTCTGTCTGTCTGTCTGTCTGTCTGTCTGTCTGTCTGTCTGTCTGTCTGTCTGTCTGTCTGTCTGTCTGTCCTGTCCTGTCCTGTCCTGTCCTGTCCTGTCCTGTCCTGTCCTGTCCTGTCCTGTCCTGTCCTGTCTGTCTGTCTGTCTGTCTGTCTGTCTGTCTGTCTGTCTGTCTGTCTGTCTGTCTGTCTGTCTGTCTGTCTGTCTGTCTGAACTGAATGATTTATGATAGTGTAGACTGAGTTTCTTCTTACTACAACAAATAAGTTTTTAGTTTAGTATGGGGTTTTACAGCGCTCGCACCTGCATGAGGTCATATGAGCGCCAACAACAAATAAGTGTCATGCTCCTCCACCCCTGTGGGTGGTTGGAGGGTGGCACTGGTAAGTCTTGCTTTTTTTCTTCTGTGTCTCTCTGTCTTTTTTTTTGCACTCAATGGTTGTTAGTAGTTCAATGCATCTTTGTGCCCAAACAAATCAGTTGGGTTTTTTTCTTCCCCCCCCCCTCTTCCAGGTCAGATCCTGTCTCTAAAGCACTTCAAGGACGAGGTTGACAGCATCAAGAAAGAGCAAGAGTGTGGGGTCAGTCTGGACGACCCTGACATTGTCTTTCAGCCCCAAGACCAGATTATCAGCTTCGAGGTCAAGGACATTGATCAGGAGATTGACTGGGACCCTGGCTTTTGACCAAGGATCAACTCTAGGATATGAACATGTACATTATATGACAGTGTACTTTTCACTTTTACATTGTGCGATATTTACATTAGGAATTCTATAGAGGACTCTATTCTGGCAGGCTTCTTACTCAACATCTGCAATTTGAAAAGATTCTTTTTTTTTTTTAACTTGTTCTCTTTTTGGGTGGGGGGCTAATCAATACTGTGCTGAACAATACTGTTTTTTGGTCAGTCAACTGATCTATATTTGCTGTACTGTATTACACATGTACTTCTTTTCGTAAGGACAATCTGATTTCTTTTTTTTAAAATTGTTTCTGTAGCTCTTGCACTTAAAGATTTACCAAACAATAAAAACTTGAATAATGCTGAAATGAGGTATCGGGGGAGTCACTCCAAGATTGTGACTCCTGGACAGCTTGCCTGCCTTTTGCTTTTTGATAGGAGGTTTATCTTTTCCTGAGAGCTCTGTTAAGTCTTACAAATTTTTATTGCTTAGCAAGCTAGTCCTGTTGTATGATTGTGGTGTCAGCAAGATGGCTTTGTTGATGGAGTCCAGTAGGACTCACAAATCTGGTCAACTGTCCTTGAAGCTCCTGAATAAGTCATGGCAGAAAAGAAGATTCATTCCTGGCAGATCCGATGATAATTTTGTTTATATATATATATATATATATATAGAGAGGCATCGTGTTGAAATCAGTCGTTGTTCAAAATTATGAAATCCGAGAAATTAGCATTTTTCGTCCAGTTTGGATATCTTTTTTGAAATTTTGTTTTTTGGCTCAACACCTTGTATGTCCATTCAAAAGCACTTTTATGTGTGGATTTCTTGGAAAAACATTGATTGAAGGCACAAAAAGTGTTAATTTGCAGTTTCCAAGGACTCCTAAGCTATGGAAATCACCAAACCTTGGCGGCTATTTCTCGATAATTTTACGTCTGAAACCGGAGGGAGGCATTGCGCTGCCAAGAGCGAAATGCTCGCAGCTAAAGGGATTTGAAAACAACAACAACAACAACAACAACAACGTCTGAAACCAGTCAACCCCACCTCTTTCAATGGCAAATATCTTGACTTTTATTCAAGGTAAATGGATATTTTCTTTATCGAAAGCAAGGCAAATGAATAAAATTAGAGATGATACCAATGACTCCATTCATATGCCCAAAAATTGACGAGAGCCTGATTCCACCACGTCGTGACCCATATATGAATGTTGGAGAAGGTAATATTTCCAAAGAAAAGATTTTTAAAGATTCTGCACAAGAAAAGAATGGCTAATGTAAAGCTTTTTTTAGTGCCCTGTGTGTCTGTGAGATTGGGTTCTATCCTCCATCCCCGGAATTCAAATGACTTGACACGATGACACATTTTTTAAGAGGGAAGACCTTTTATGATATCGTGAAAAAGGATTTTTGTTTAAAAAAACTCTCATTGATTGAGGGTAGGACTCGGATTTTTCAAGTTTGTCATATATATGTGTAAGGAACAAGCAGTGTGATTGGGCAGTGCTGTTGTTTGATACAGCTATGTTAGTTATTTTAATTAGAACTTGGAACACAATTCATGGTTTTGTTTTAATGTAGTAAATTATGACAAAAGTCATTGGGGAAAAAGGGCTTTCAAGTATATTTTTTCGTTACCTTTTATTTTATCAGGAAGTAGGGAGTTGAAGACAATTAATTTATACATACTCTATACTGAGAGTTTGAGGCTTGTTTGAAGATGGTACACTTAAAATTGTAGTTTAACATTTTCATTGTTGCCGTCTATTTCAGGGAATGATAGGATCAAGAATAATACGATGATAGAATGACAATGTTTTGCGTTCAAATCCATTAAAAGTTCACAGAAAAAATTGTGACTGGCTTTTATTTCCTTTTTTATTCATCTTGTTCTTTGTCTCATATATGCATGTCTTTGTATGTATTGAATTCATTATACTGGTGGTTGAAGAGTAATCTTTATACAGTGGAAACCATGTATAACAGGCCCGGTAAGAACAGGGATCCGGTAATAACAGGGATGTTTAAAATCCCCATTTTTTCCTACTCGTTGTCTCTATTAAAAGTTATCGGCAATAACAGGGCCTCATCGGAGCCCAACCGGTTATAGCAGGGACAGAGGCTCGTTAATAATGTGTAAAAAGTAAGAGAGAGAGGGGGGGGGGGGGGAGAGAGAGAGAGAGAGAGAGGACGACCGGTCGGCCTAGATCTAAGCCTACTTCTTTCATTATGGTCACCAACGATGTCAAGCGCAAGAGAAAATGCCTTTCAATTGACAAAAAATACGAAATAATCCAGACTGTTGACAAAAACAAGCTCCACTGGCAGAGATTTGTCGTCGGTTCGACATTCCACAAGGGTCGATTCACACCATTATCAAGGATAGAGAGAAGATGGTGGCAGCATACTCCAATGAAAAGTTTGCTCTGGATCGAAAGAAGATGAGACTACCATATGTAGATGCTGTGGACCAAGCTATTCTGATGTGGTATAAGTTTAAGGACGCAAGGAGAAATTCGGTGCCAAAACCCCTGTTCGTGGGTACTTGTAGCTAGGGAAACTATCTATGAATAAGTACAGCTAGATTAGTCCACAAATGCTTACTTTCCTTGCATTTCGAATTTAACAGGGATCGGATATAACAGGACTTTTTCTCTACTCCCACCATCCCTGTTATACCAGGTTTCCACTGTATTCTTTTCTGTTGCATTCAGAAAATTTTGAATTCAATTTCTGAGTTGGGAAGTTATTTTTTTGAGTATGTCCTTCTGTCTGCTGCAATACAATATCACACTCAGCCCAGAATGTCCCCCACAGAGAAGGTGGAAGCAGACCATCTCCTAAGTGATCTTAACTGGGTTGTTGGGGCTGTAAAACATTTACAATTAAAATTTTCTCTCAATCTCTTTCAGTTCCAGCCCACCTTGCACTCTCTATTCTCTCTCTCTTTCTCTCTCTCTCTCTCTCTCTCTCTTTCTCTCTCTCTCTCTCTCTCTCTCTCTCTCTCTCTCTCTCTCTCTCTCTCAGACACACACTTGCTCATACACACACACTCATACACACGCACACACTCGCACATGTAGATGGTTAGAGGTCGCCACTGGCCGATTCTATCTCCTTACTTTCCCTCTGCTGTTCCTGTCTGTCTGTCTTGCATATTTTTGGTACTAACCGTTGGTCTGTGAATGTGCTTTGCTTTACTTTAAATAAAACTAATAAAACATTCAAATATTATGTAAATTCAAACACACTCACACACACATGCACACTCACACACATACACACACGTACATACACATACACACACAAACTCTCACAGAGTCAGCATGCATGTCCAATAAAAAAAACCCTAGCCTAGAAAGATATGACTCGGTTTAAACACAGCATGTTAACAATCCTGACTTGGGTAAAATAATGCTTAAACATCCAAGGGCAACAATTCATGTAATTAATGCATTTTCAGGGGCTCTGTCAGGCTATATAAAACCTCTGTTACTTCCCTTTCCCTTTTTTTCCCTCTGTCATGTGGTATCGTTTTCTTTCTTTAGACGAAATGTTGTTTTTCTCGGGCGGAAAAGATAGTAAGGCAGGGGGGGGGGGTGTCAGATGTGAATCTAACATGGAAAGAGCTGACGGGGGGACATTATGCACTACTAGTACTCATGAAAAAATTATTTATAAGCCAGTTAGTATTTGGAGACTCCATGGGGTAGGGGTTGCATCAAAATCAAAGAAGTTATAAAGATCGCTGATGCTATCTCTTTAGGTTGCCCAAATGTCGGCAGAATGAAGAAAAAGATGGATTAAACCAACCCATTTAATCCAACGAAAGGACAAAAATATTGTCACTTCAATTAATTAATTATCCACCATCGCAACTACACCACCGAACGCGATTCTCAAAACAATCTGGGAATGGCTCACGATCAAAACAATGCAGACTGCGGCAGACTGCCAAAGATCTATTGTCTGCCGATGTTATCTCTGTCTCGGACTGATTGATTGTGACAGTGATTGTGTAGCCCTGTGGCATCCAAGGACCAAGTCCAAGGCGCTGGCATCCCATTGGGAAGATCTGCCGGAGGAGACGAGGGCAGAGTGGAGATAATTTTACGTGTGTATGCATTGACTATATAAATGATTTCTAGATCTAGATCTAGATCTAAATCTAGATCTAATACGTTTTGCTATCTTGAATGGCTTCGTCTTGAATCAGCTGTGGCGTCAGGCTGTGGAATCAGAGTCAGAGTTCGCATGGCCCTCACCTATCTCAATCTGATTTAATGTGATTTGACTTCCTAATTGAACTTATCATCTCTTAGTTACAAAATCTGAGCCTTTGCCATGCAGATTTCCATGGACTCGTGGTAGGCTAGATCTAGATCTAGATGGTTGTTTTATTCATGTAGGCTACTTCATAGAAAAGCTGTGTTTTGGAGGTCTCATTTTCATCCACAATGCCTTTTTTCCCTTCTTCATCTTCATCTAGAATCTAGGCCGCCAGTGATGATAGCCTACAGAACAAGATGGTTCACTCAGCCAAAAAGTGTCCGCTGGAAGTCCTGCTCAATAGCTCAGATGACGCTGCAGTCTTTGTTTTGGAGCTCTCTTTCGTTTCTCCAGAAGAAGAATTGAAATTGAATAGGAATAGCACCTCCTTGCGTTCGCAGATCGACTGCTGTTCATCAGCTGTTCGGGTTCGTTCAGTGTGGAGTTTTAGATTTTAAAAATTTTAATGACCTCTCGCCTCTCATTCTAAAGTCAAATTAAACAAAGAAAACCGTCGCTTCTTCTGGAGGAAGAGGTTTTTTGTCCGCGCAACCATTTAAAAAAGGCCGACCCTACTTCTCGGAATGCTCGGGAAAACAAACTTGAACTCTATTTCTCCGAACGGTTTCCGTTCTCGAGATTTGTTGATGATTTGCGAATGGAGTGGCCCGCGCGTGCACGTGTGTGAGTGTGTATGTATGTGTGAGTGAGTGTGTGTACGTGTGTGTGTGTATGTGTGTGTATACATATATATGTAAGGTGTGAGGATGGGGGAGGGGGGGTGCGTGGAGGGATTTTATTTTTGTTTACATGAAGGATTTTAGTGTTTGCTTTAGGGGTGTCTTCTCGCAGTACCTTTTGAAGGCATTTTCAACTAAAGTATAGTCCGCGAACATTACCCCAACCACAACTGAAGTATCTGAATATTCAGACATTTAAAAATCTCTAGATCTAGCTCTAGAAATTGGATTCGATGCAAAAAATGCTGCTTCCCAGTGCTCGCAGAATGGCAGAATGAAAGATGACACCAAAAAATCTCGAGAACGGAAACCGTTTGGAGAAATAGAGATCAAGTTTATTTTCCTGAGCGTCTGAGAAATAGTCACTTCATTTTAAAAAAGCGTTCTTTAGAAATTTGAATTTATATTTATTCAAAAACTTGTTAGCTTCACTTTGATTTTTTCACACAAGTAGAGTAACTCTTTTCACAAAGGGGGCATTTTCGAAGAGGGCGCCTCCGAATTTTGAGGACGCTTTTTTAATTGGCTCAAAGAGAGGACCATCTTATTTAATGTATCATCCTTGATGTAGGTCTAGAAATCTAGATCTAGATCTACTTCTTGCCTGTCTTTCATAGTCAAAATGCCCAAGCTCCAGACTCTATTTTCTAGTCTAGACCTAGATCTGATTTAATACTAGATCTATTTCTAGAATCTAGTTCCAGAGAAATTCCAAATATTCTACTTCCAAGTTCCATGCTGTATCAGGGGTATTTATAATCTTTAACTTAAAATTATTTTAATCTTTACTGGGTTTTTTCCTGACTTCAGAGCCTGACATTATGTGAAGACAACATAAATCCATATATATGAAGTTTGGAGAACAAAATGGCAAAACCTGGGAGGAAGCAATCCTCAACAACAGAAGGAAAGATGTCTAAAAAGAAACTGTTGAATGGAGAACTGGGCAGCAATGGGGAACCTGTACAGCACGAAGTGACTACCAGAGCAGATTCCACCAATTATGCAACTAGAGGGGCAATAACCCTTGTTGTACCCAGATGGTTGTACTGCTACATGCCGATCGCTGTGGGTGTACTGGCTGTGGTGTCATCGTCATTTGTCTCTCGGTACCATCAACATGTCCTGGAAGACCAATTGTTGAAGAAGACGGACACACTTGGGTTGGAGGCTGTGGATGTTTTTGTGGATCTGGATAAGGATGGAGACTTTCATTTGAGTCTAGAAGAAGCTGAGCCACTTCTGCTCCATTTTGTGGATCAGGCCCAGGTAATTGATCTTATCTAGCAATTTATACTTATGGAAATTACTTTTTTAAATTAGTTTTTGGAATTACTATCTTGTTATGTTTGTCTGAATTTTTCAGAACCAACTTTTGTGAAATGTTCACATCGACTGTGCAGACAGACAAAACTGAATTGATTCCTCTGTAGTCATTATATTTCTATTCCACCCCTTACAGGTGAATTTGCTTCTCCCTCACAATAGCTTCTTTTGCTGAAAGGAAAAGAGACGCAACACTAAAGGTGTGGTGTTTTGTTTTTCCCAAAATCTGTTGGGTCAAAGTTGCATCATGATTCATGTGACAGACATAATTTTCTTGCCCTATATGTACAACGTTTGAAGGAATTGTGACTGGTTTTTTTAACTGTCACTTGAGATTCATATAACTGCAATAAATGTATCATCTCTGTGTTTGACCATTATGAAATGTCAAAAAGTTTTCACCGTACTTTCATCTTTGATTTGCAGGGAAAGCCCACAGTGTTTAGCTCTGATGTGATCCCAGGAGAGGATGTGGTCTCTGTAGTGGCCAGGTTCACTCCTTTGAATACAAGCACAATGACTAAAGACTTTGAGAACGATGTGAGTAAAAATACTTTACTTATATAGAGGAATTTTCATTTTTTTCATTTTTAGATGAAATTTCAATAGAGGGCTGCTAAATTGAGATAATTTTAAAGAGATCATAATCCTTGTGTATTGTAAGCTTTTTCTTTTGTATTTGTAGAAACAAGTTAGCTTTTTGTGGCTTACAAAATGTTGATTAATTAATAAAATAATTTTTTTTCTTTTTAATGTGGACTTCCTCATTAATATAATTTTGACTTAAAGGAAACAATAGGGAGCTGTAAATATTCTCACAATAACATGGGAATATGTATTATATTAATCTATCAATACTATAGTCTAATGTGTTAGCTGTTGTCTGACTTCCCATAGAAGGTTGTTAAAGTAAGGCCGCCACTGGTAGGTTCTACTTCTTTAACTATCCCTCTGTTATTTCTGTTTGCCTGACTTACTTTTTACTAGTTTTAAATGATCAGATATATATACATGCTTCTCTTCAACTCAAACTAATTAAAAGCTGGCTTTATTCCTGTCACTTGTGGCTACCTCTATTTCTTAGGTCTTGTCATAACTCATGTGAGTATTCTCAAGGATTTTTCCAGTATGAAAAAGAAATGTCAGGGCTGCTCTAAATATCCTCATTGTTTTTGATTTTCTCATCTGCTGTCGAACCTGCTCTAATGGCCACCTGTCCAAGACAACCCCTTGTACAAACGACCACTCCCAACTTTGCCCCTTACGTTTTTCTTATATATATCATATGATGTGACACTACTGTCCAAGTCATCCCCCTGTCTGAGACAGCTGCTTTTTCCTTTCAACAATGGGTGGCCATTTTGGACCATTTTGATTGTATACATTATCTCAGTTATAAATTGAACAGTTTCAGAACAACGAATCTTTCCATGGTTTGTTCCACTGGTTGTCACCTCACACGCCGGTCAAGGACTTTGGTGTTTCCAGATTCAGGGACTTACTGCCTGATGACTTAGAGAACATTCCAGTGCCAGGTATGTCAGGAAAGTGTGTGTGTGTGTGTGTGTGTGTGTGTGTGTGTTGGATTTCTTTGTTATGAAACTGGACACAAAAAAGAGAGAGAGAGAGAGAGAGAGAGA